GTCATTAGCACCTCTAGTAATATATTTACTGAGAAAAATGGTGACGTGTTCAATGCTTATTTTACCCGCTGTATATTTACACACTGATACAGGCAATTGCATGATCACCCTCTTCCATGGTGGCACAAAATAAATAATGTCAAAATGTAGACTGAGATTGAAACAGTTTGAGGAAAGAAATTATTTAGTTAATAACATTACAGCTGAGAAGTAAAATGTTTCTGATGACCATATCCTTTGGGAGTCAGCTCAGCAAAACTGCAGCACTTTAATTACTGTAGATTGAAGGAATTTCCTATTCATTTGGAGCCCTTTGTACACCAAGTTTTGGATCAGTGCTCATTAGAATTTTGGAGCCTTTAATCTTTGTGACAAAGTCTACCAGGCTTGTTCAGTTCTGTGGAAAACAATGACAGACTTTCATAYGGCCAGCCAAGTTCTCACAAATGTTTCCCAAACATTTATCATGCTAATGTTGACGATATACACTCAGTGACAGCTCTGGGTGGGTGGAATACAGCTTTAAATTGTATAAAACTCTAGTGAAAGTGTCTTTTAGCCTTAAAATGCATTTTGTGAAGCTTTGCAGAAATGTAGCTGTAACCATTTTGGACAAGTATCCCTATCCCTTATTATTTTTAAAAAATTTAACAATTTTGTGCTAAACAGCTGCTTCAGCTGCGATCAAACATGTTGAGGATCATTTTCACGTGACCAAATCATCTATGCCTCGGCACAGTAACCCAACTTTTCAAAATCCTCGCTTTACCTCAAAGAGCCTCCGTTCAAACTGCATCAGTTTCACCAGCTAAGCCTCAGGTGAATACTACAAAGCAGAGGCTTAATATTTCTGCCTCTGTAATCTCTCGTGTTTTAGTGGTGTGACGACTTGGTTCTGTGAGTGTTTCTAGGTGAGAGTGCATGCCTTTGCAGCAGATGGTTGAACCTGCTGCTGCAGTAAAACAGCTAACGTCACGGATCAGGAGCCTCTCTGATCCCATCATCGGGTTCTGTGCACACAGCTTTTATGCCCAAATGTGTTTATGGCGCCTCATGAGCACCGATGCACATAAAAGGTGGCGAACACAGAGTTTTAATCTTTTAATCCACGTTACGTCCAAGTAACTCACTCATTCATCAAGCAACAACAGCTTATTGGGTCTGCTGATGCAGCATGTTTCTAGACTTAATTTGTTTTAAACTGTAAAAACAATAAAACTCTGACATAGCAAAGCTCATTCTAAAAAGTTAATAGTTTCATATCCAAAAATATATTTTTATTACTGCTATTGAGCCCCATTTTCATACCTATTTTCAAGGCTCTTAAATTTGAAAATGTACTTAAAACTTAATGTGTGAGCAACATGTTTAGAGTTTTAAAGGATGCTTAACTTTTTAAAGAGATTCATCATTGACAGAAGAAAAAAATGGTACAATAGTCTTTTTTTTACCAAAGGTAGTGCAAAAACCTAACTATAGTTATTAGATTTATTTTATTATTTAAAGACAGTGGATTTCACTGAATAATTAGAGACATTTGTTTTTTCTATATCTTTGACTAATAAATTTTATTTCTGCATGTCGAAGCGCTCTTATTGTCTGTTATTTAAGGTGGTGCTGTAAAGTCACTTTTTCCACACCTAATTTTGAACCTCCCAAAATATGAAAATGTTCACAACTAATAATCTGTGAGCAACATTTTTTGACCTTTAGGGGATGCTTAGATATTTAAAGTGACTCATTGAAAGAAGAAAAATAAAATAAAAAATTATATACCAGGCCTTCATACCAAAGGTAATCCAAAGGCCTAAATATAAATATTAGATTTTTTTAACATTATTATTACTTTACTTTTTAAAAGACTGGTTTATCACTGATTAACTAGAGAATAAACCTCTAAGTAACGTTTGTTTTTTAATGTCTCGGGCTGGTAAAAATATTTGTCCCGAATTTAATTTCTGCATGTCGAGGCACTCGACATGCTGTTGAGATATTTTTCATATCTGTTTAAGAAAGAGTCAAATCTAAAAGTGTTTGTCACTTTTAATGTGTGAGCCTTAAAAGTTAGGATGTGCTCTGGCTTTCAAAAAAGTGATTTATTTGGCACAAGAAAAACAATACTACAAGCACACTAAATCTAAATGTTTGTGTATTTCTTTAGAATGACCTTTTGCTGAAGGGTTTGGGAGTGAACCTTTGTGTTTACTGTGATTATGTGTGCAGTGAAATGAAGCAGATGGACTCTAAGTGAAGTTTTAAATCTGAGGGGGGGGTCTCCAATGTCACCGATTATCCCGAGTGACGAGATTTTCTCCTGGTGTGCACACCTGTTACAATCACCTCTGCATTCACACAAGCTTGTGTGATTTTATTCCTCAGAAACTAAATCATATATAAATCAATCCCTCCCCAAGTGTTTTACATCTCCTGCCAGGGTTCATTGTTCATTTAACCTAATTTAAGGTGTGAGCTTGTGTCTATAAAGGTGAGTGTTGCTCTGAGCGGCATCTTTTGTGTGTGTGCGTGCGTGCGTGCGTGCGTGCGTGTGTGTGTGTGTGTGTGTTATCCAGCGCTGCAGATGGAGGGTTCTTTAATGCCACCAGATTAGATCAGGATCCAAGCAAACGTGACAGGGTGACACTCGTGTTTTTCTTCTTCACCTGGCCTTTCTCTGCTTTTCTTCCAGCCTCCTTCTGTCTTTTGATCTCATCGCTCACGTTTCCCTGCTTGACACAGAAACGTCAATCAAAGTGCATGTTCTGCAATTTTGTAAAGAGCTTTTCATGGGCAGCTGGGATGCTCAGTTGGTGCATAAACTAATTTAATGACAAAGTTATACTACTTGTGTCAAATAGCTGCAACGGCCATCTTGAATCAGGTTGACTCCAAATTTATTTAAYTGTAAACGTACAACCAGTGWTTACTTTATGAAATTTTCATTAAAATCTGTTCCGCAATTCATGAAATATTTTGTTATCAGACAAGAAAGAGTAAACTCCAAGCGTGAGCAGCAAACTTAAAAAAAGAACRGATGATGAATTATAAGTTATTAGATAGTTCCACATCTGAGAAATTGACTGATTTATAGATATTTTTGTGTTTGCTAAGGTTGTTTAGTTGTGGCGGCCATCTTGAAGTGGATTGAGTTCAAAAAAATATCCAGCTGTAGGTCCACATAGCAAAATTAATCTTTCTCAGTTCTGGCCCACACAGGGCACCAACACTCAAACATTCGGCATGAATACTGGGCTGCATAAACCAAACCACAAAGGGGCCAGTTCTGGCATTGATAGATTTGGGCCACATAAACCAAACCACAACTGGGCCAGTTGTGGCATTGAAAGATTTGGGCCACATAAACCAAATCACAACTGGGCCAGTTGTGGCATTGAAAGATTTGGGCCACATAAACCAAACCACAACTGGGCCAGTTGTGGCATTGAAAGGTTTGGGCCACATAAACCAAATCACAACTGGGCCAGTTGTGGCACTGATAGATTTCGGCCACATAAACCAAACCACAAATGGGCCATTTCTGGCGTTGACAGATTTGGGCCACWTAAACCAAACCACAACTGGGTCAGTTGTGGCATTGATAGATTGGGCCACATAAACCAAATCACAAATGGGCCAGTTGTGGCATTGATAGATTTTGGCCGCATAAACCAAACCACAAATGAGCCATTTCTGGCATTGACATATTTTGGCCGCATAAACCAAACCACAACTGGGACAGTTATGGCATGCCTTGTTAGAAACAGTGCCATCATTGCCAAACCTGGCCATCTGGTTGACAAATCACTTGCCATTCCAGCAGTGCCAGCTTGACAACATCTGGCCCACACCTCTCTGCTATGAGGGAGATGCATTGGGGGCGTTAGAATAAAAAAATCACCCTGTGGTACAGGAGATATTTTACTGACAAACCAATAGCTACATGCAAATGCAGGTCAAAACATTGTCACTCTTTAGCCTTTCGCAGCTATCAATAATTAGAATATACCTCAAATTAAATGATCAGTGTTGTCATGTCTCTACTCTTTATTGTTTTGATGAGGTACAGTAAAGTCGTATGTGCTCGTGACTGACAGCCCGTTTGACAGCCTGGCTGCGTGACGTGATCACTGACAGGTAATCCCTCCCTGGTGGCAAATCAGTGGCCTCCAACCAGAGCTTGGTCAACAGATGGGAACAGGCGGCTTAGCCCTTTAAAAACAGGAAGGAGAGGTGACACCAGCTCAGAAGGAGAGGGAGCGGAGAGGACAWAAACAAAGGGTTTGACACGTTCGAAAAGCAGGTGGAAAGAACGACCAGTGGATTTAGTTTCTGGGGTATCTGGTCTTTGTGATTTTGATCAACAACAATGACGGTTATCAAAGGAGGCAGACCGTAAGTACTCAGCTCTGATGGCCAGCTGATTATGTGTTCAGTCYTTGCAAATTGTTGTAAATGTTTACTGTCCTTATTAGCAGATGGATTACTGTGGTGGTTAAACACCTGTGGGTTTATTTGCAACATTTAAAGAGTGCATTCAGGCATCTGTTTTCTTTACCTGCTTTTTCTTTTCTGGGTCACTGGGGAGTTGGTACATAAATCCAGGAATCACTATCCCTGCAAAAGGCATGGACACCCTGGACAGGTGTCCATCACAGGGACAACCACTCACAGTCTCACCCACATTTAGGGGCATTTTAGAGTTACCAATTAAAAATGGAAATCAAAACGTTTAGAACAAAAGCACACCAGTTTCACTTGCAAAAGGTTTTCTTTGTTTTTTTGCTCAGTGTTCACTTCAGTGTGCTTTGTGTTCGGTCAACAATGCTCTTTGGTTCCTGTTCAAAAACAGTAAACTTTTGTCAATGAATGACGAAACAAAACATTTAAAAGTTTCTCTGTAACGTTGGTGTCAATTCTCCGTCATCCAAAACAGAGAAAATCCTAAATGTTTTTGTTTTGTCTTTAAAAATGATTTATTTTACTGTTTTTTAAGACATTTTGAATCATTCAAAATACAAAAAGTAACCTTTGTTTTTGTGACCTGAACTCACACACAAATCAGTTCTCCCTCCCTCCCCTCCCTCCTGAGTGGTTGTGAGGGTCTTTGTTGGGACAACAAAGGGAGATTGTCCAAGTGGGTAGCACAGATGAGCAGCAAMTCGTTTTGAATAAATTGTAAGAAAAAGTAAAAAACCTAACTAATGGTTGGACGTTGTTTTTCTAGGAATTATAGGACAATATTGTTGAGTCGAACACATCAACATCTGTTCCCATGACTTGGCAAAAGCCTCTTAACCCAGTGACATGTATTGAACTTGAATCAATCATCTGCTGTGGTCACCTGTGTTGGACTCCACCTGTTTCCAAGTGACTCATCAGATTTAGCTCCTTCAGTCTGGACTGAGGTGACCGGGTCAATCCGGTCATTTTTGTCGGCGTGTCATCARTGTGCAAACTAAAGCAAATTTGTTTTCCTGTGTGTTTCAGAGTGCCAACGGTTCCCGTGAAGAACCTAAATGGATCCAGTCCTGTGCACCCAGCCCTGGCAGGTAAACACTATCAATTATGTAATAATCAGAAAAATTAAATTAACCCTCCTGCTGCTGTTGGGTCAAAACTGAGGCYTYGTCGGTCATTTTGACCCATGTTAGKTTAAGCYACCTTAAATTCTGTGATCAGCCCGGAATTAACTGGTATTTTGATTGAGAAACAATCTCCCTGATAGACGTATAAATGTATATTAGTGTGTCACAGTTCACCCTCTGCTGGTTGTTCTCAGGCATTACAGGCATTCTGATGAGTGCCGCAGGACTTCCTGTCTGCCTGACGCGCCCTCCAAAGCTGGTGCTTCATCCTCCACCTGTCAGCAAGAGTGACATCAAACCTGTGCCCGGTCTGGGTCACTGCTGTCGCAAAACCACAAAGAAACAAGCCCGGAAAGGTAGGTTACTGCTGCACAAACCAGTGGGTCTTCTGAGTGTTGATTAGTGAGGATTATAAACTGGCAATTTTTATGTTATGAATTATTTTTCTTTTTTTTTTCTTAAGGGAAAACACCTGAGGAAGTGGTGAAGCGTTACCTTCAGAAAGTCCGTAATCCTCCAGAGGAGGTGAGTTCTTTTAGAGTAATTCTAAGAGCAATTGTTGTGTCTATAGTTGTTTTCTCATGACCTTGGACATTTTTGTGTGTGTGYAACAAACTATTTTACTGACTTGGTTACTCCAAAACACTCAAGTTGTAATTAAAAAAAGATAAGGTGACTAAAGAAAAAGTAATAAAATTAAAGGTTGATACGATAAAAAGAAATACAGATCTGTGACTTGAATAAAAGTTGAGTCATTTCCCAGTTCTTGTAATCTTCTAAAGTGCACTTGATTTGTTCTTCAGACGTTTTGAAGGTCTAAAMGTTTTCCTTTGAAAATTGCCATAAATGAATTATAATTTCTTTTTGTTAATCCGTTTAATTCTGTCTGACGTTTGAGTCTTTCAGGCATAAAAATATTATGAAACAATAGGAAGGAACAAATGTTGCATTAACACATAACAGATCATTTACCAAATAACACATTTTAAATTGGTTCATTATCTAGTRACGAGCAAAAACGCCAACTAGATACATAGCTAGTACTTTGCTGTGCAATTTAATGCTGGTAGCGGTCTCTGCGATACATAGGCGTGTGAGGGATTGGTAATAGTAAAATTGTTGTGAACTTGTAAATATAATTTACTTCAAATTTGGTTCAACGAGCACCTTCCTGACTCAATTTATGAATAATATTCATATTCCAAAATTGCGATCGTTTCTGAGGCTGTTTTAAACCAACCTGAATTGGTACAGCCCCCCCCCCCCAGCTGCCCAGTGTTCACCCAACCAAATTGMTATGGCTTCCTAATCAATCACGTCTTTAACAAACTCCTCCCACAAAAGTCAAACAGACTAATCGTGTCTTTTCCAAACTCCGCCCACACACCAATAACCTCAGAGTCTCCTTCTTAACAAATGGGCAAAAACAAAACCTGAACTGGTCTTCCCGTTCCAGGACTGCACCATCTGCATGGAGGCGCTGTCCGGACCATCAGGCTACAAGGGTCCTGGCGTGGGTGGCATCTCCCGGGCCGAGTCGGTGGGCCGCCTGGCTCAATGTGGTCACCAGTACCACCTCCAGTGCCTCGTCGCCATGTACAACAAYGGCAATAAGGACGGCAGCCTGCAGTGTCCTACGTGCAAAACCATTTATGGAGTCAAGACCGGCAATCAGCCCCCCGGCAAGATGGAGTACCACGTCATCCCCCACTCGCTGCCGGGACATCCTGACTGCAAAACCATCCGGATCATCTACAACATCCCTCCTGGCATCCAGGTGGAGTCAGAGCATTGGTTCTAGGACTGTTGGATGACTGAGAATCTATACCATCCAGACCAAAAAGCTTTATTACACTTGTGTTTTCATATTCATTTTACTTGTCTTTTAGGGTCCCGAGCACCCAAATCCCGGAAAACCATTCACTGCGCGTGGGTTTCCCAGACACTGCTACCTTCCCGACAGCGAGAAGGGGCGCAAGGTACCTAAAGAAACGTACCCCATGTCAAAATTTAATGGCCTGGTGTCGATAATTCTCTCATTGACATGTTCGAACTTCTTCCCTCAGGTTCTGAGGCTGCTCCTGGTGGCGTGGGACCGCAGGCTCATCTTCTCCGTGGGCACATCCAGCACCACCGGCGAGTCCGACACCGTCATCTGGAACGAGGTGCACCACAAGACCGAGTTTGGCTCCAACCTCACGGGCCACGGCTACCCCGACCCGGGCCACTTGGACAACGTTCTGGAGGAGCTGAGGGCTCAGGGGATCACCGAGGAGGAGTGTCTACCCAGGGACTGAGCGCAGACTTTCAACAGCCACATGATGCAACGAGAGGAGAAACTTCTGGAGGGGGTGGTGAAMTTGGAAAGCAGAGCTGTTGCAGAAATGGTCTCAGCTCCTTCTGGCTGCACGAGACTCTTCTTTTCAGACGTTTGAGGTCACTGTGCTCACCCGAGTCAATATCAGTTTAAAAAAAAAGAGCTGCCATTTTACACAGAGAGACTCCATAACAGAGAGACTAGACAAGAATGTATTTGTTTTTCTTTTCAGTAATTATGATGTGTTTATTGTTGCTGCTGCTAAGTGGGACTGAAGGAGAAGTAATACAAAGAAAGATAATATTTTTATGTGGAACTGAGGGGGTTAAGGGTGGGTTATAAACAAAGAAAAGTGTTTTTATTTTTATTTTCTAAGCAGAACATCCTTTGAACTTCAAAGAAATGCTTCACTGGAAACCTGAGCATCTATATCTGCTGCCCTCTTGTGGCACTTTTTAAAAACTACATCACTTTTTAGGTTTTGGTTTTTAAATCTTGTATATAATATAAATACTTGATATATGGTATTAATTACTTTCATTCCTGTTTTTACATTTTAATGTTACATTTTCTTTAATATGGTGTATTTGACAGTGTTATTATTYTATCCATTTGATGACTGAAAGAGATAGTTCATATAATCCGCTGGTGAAGACTGCCTGTCACTTTATATGCCGACTGCTTTCTTTATATGTGGCCATTTTCAAAGTTTTGTATTTGGTGAGCTCACATACGGACAAATATTTAATCATGAATCCCTTTGAGTTTTCTGTGTCTTCTTGCGTCAGCGTAAATGTTCATAGAGGGAAAACTTTGGATCGATGAGTAAGCAGCAAATTCTCCAAAAGCTAGGATTAAACCCCACTTTGTCTGAGCTCAGATTTGCACCGTGCTTTCTGCTTAGTGTCATAAAGACAAGTTTGGAACTGCTATATTTCACCAGCCTCGAATCGCTCTGCAGAATGTGGTCATCGCTTGTTTGTTTGTTTGTTTGTTTTTCTTTTTTATTGTCAGTCACCAGAAACAGATGCAAAAGATAATATGGATCAGTTTGAATTCATGTCAGTGTGAACTGATTTAAAGGGACGAATGTTTTTCGGGGTTAATGAAACTGTGTGGAGTACATACTAACATAGATCAACATGTAAACATTTATACTTTATGATACTTTGTCTATGTGTGTGAGTGTGGACAAATTTGAATTAAACGTTTTTTTAAGGTTCAAAGAGAAAACTCGACTTGTCTTGTTTACTCCTTTTTGTGAATGTCTTATCTTTTGCAGAATAAAAATATCTGCTATTTGCTTCAAAAGAAAGGCAACTTCTGTTGGGACTGGTTATGGTTTATTTATGCCCATATGGCAACCATTCATGGAGGTAATTATTGGAGATATGGAGATGATGCTACTTTAAAACTATCATACTTTGACCAAAACTATCAAGTGTGGAGTGAAGGGGCGCTTTTCCAGTAGGGTATAGGCGTAATTTGCATGGGGGTTAGGGGGGTTATGACCCCCACAATRACTTGATCCAGTCCAAATAACCCCYCAATAAATTGCTATAATTTGCTCAAACACAATAAAAATTAACAGGTTAAATAGACAGATGCAGCTCTCTTGTTGTCTTTAGGTAACTTTAACTTGTCATGTATGAGCATTATTACTATAAATTACATGCAGAATTTTAGAGCCCCCCCCGCCAMCCCCCACCCAATGGTAGACTTAAAGTTATGCCCATGGTTCTGGGAGGATTTAGGGTTCTAACTAAGCTTTTTTGCAGTTACTAATGCGCATGCTCGGTGTCAGTATTTTTGCGATGCATCGTGGTCTAGATATATTCCTGCCTACTTCTGGTTCATTGAAATACACTCAGTCCAAACAGTGTTCATGATGACCCATGTTTCAGCCGCTCTCCACAGTCACTCTGACACTCAGCAACATTGTACGCTGAGGACATTTCACATTTAATATGAATGTCACAAATTTAGAATGTAAGTAAATTTAGTATTCAAGTATGTTTGTTAATAAAAGTCAACCACAAAGCACGTGAAACATGAATAAGAGAAGTAGTTAAGAATTAATTTTGGTGTGATTTTACATGTGTGCATTAAAAACTGTAAAAAGGTCAATGTCAATGTCAATGTCAAATTTATTTATATAGCACTTTACAACATGCATAAAGCTGTACCAAAGTGCTGTRCAAGAACAACACAAATGACAAAACAGAGCAAAAACAATACATCAATTAAATGCCAAAGAMTAAAAATGAGGTCAGTTTGGTAAACGGGCACTCAGGAGATAAAGGGGGTYGTGAGCTTGGTGGGCACAAGAACTGTTTGATGATTTGTAGGAGTTTATATGAATAAAAATAAGGTTTTTCTTTGGGAGCACAGAAATACCAAAACTGCCTGGGCTTTTTAAAGACTGTTTCTTATAAAACTACGTGTGATAATAATCGCTGGGTACACTGTACTTCACAGCAATATGGCCGCTGTCTGCCACCAAGAAGTCATGTGACAGCGTCTCTAGTCAATATACCTCATAGGCTGTGATCGCCAACACTGTTCAGACAAAACTGCAAAAGATCTCAAATCCTCCACAGCAGTGGTTCCCAAAGTTGGGGTCAGGACCCACAGTGGGGACCTGGAACATCAAGGTTGGGTCCTGAAAATATCTTCTGAATTAATTACACTAAAGAATGACAACTAAGAWTTTTTTTTGCCTTGGTTGTTACAAAATAATAAGATTAGTGTACTTAAAATGTACAAAAATAATGTAATAAATAATCTCACTGTGCTCTTGTTTATTTGACATGAAAACAATGTTTATCTACCGACAACAGCTGGGGCCACAGGTCTCTGCTGATGGTATTTTGTGGGTCAGAAGTTGAAAAGTTTGGAAACCACTGCTCTGCAGTTTCCATGCCAGGCCACTAGCTGGCAGTGTGATTTTTGTATTTCAACACATGCATGAGATGTTTCTGTTTCAAACATGAAAAACAGTTACATCAAAAAATACATCTAAGCTCTGAACCATTGAAAAGCAGCTCAAATCGTATTTTGCTGTTGTCAATTGTTACTGTTGTTCATGAATTAGCTTGTGTGCTAAATAACCACGGACTGACCAAAGGGAGTACGAAGAGTTTTGAAAATTTTCCTTTCCGAGATGTTCCTTAAAAAAGTTTCGGAATSAGAGAATCCGGTTTTTGTCATCAAAACCAACATCCGAAATGTAACAGAACTGTTCTGATTTGTCGTTGTCATTGTGTTTATTACTGATGTTTTTACGTACTTGGTTTGCTTTTCTTAGAATTACCATGAAATTTTTGTTAGTTATGGCCTTGATTTTGTTTGTTATACGTCATACGTTGAGTTCTTTTAATAATCAGCACACCTGCAATCACACTTCCAATGCATTTTCTCTCTTTTCTTTGTTTTGTTTGAATCATTTTTAGCCATCCCCTCATCATTTTATTAGTTTTTTGTTTGTCATAGTTCRTTAATAAAAATCGTGTATTTCCAAGAACTGCCTCCTTCGTTTAGGCCCTATAATAACTGTCTRAGGCATTCTCGTCTCACGGTTGGACGTTAGCAAATGACCAGATTATAAGGATCGTTCACAATCCTGATTTCTGCCTCTCGAGATGAGCAGTTTATCTGTAGATTAGTCTGGCTCCTGGATTAGMTGGCCGGATTACTTCCACCTTAATGAATGAAAAAAATTGCAGAGATGACTAAACTCAGTTATAAGGGACTTCCTAGAAAGTAATTTGYGTATAATTTAACTATGAAATGGACAAAATTGTGTTTAAAAGTCACTTCAAAGCACRCTTAATAAGCAGATACTTTATTTTAATTTAAAAGCGATTGTAACGGCAACTCTGAAGTAAAAGAAAATTAAATTAAACAGCAAAAAGTACAGTAAAAAAAGCCAACCTAAAAGGATCAATCACATTCCTCTAACTGAAATATTTCTCATCCACTTTCATTTGCTTCTTCAGTTCTACGGCAGAGCTTCACCGTAAGTGACAGATGTGATGGAATGGGATAATCTCTCAATATGTGGTTAAAAAAAAGAAGCATCAGGTTAGAGAGGAGCAGATGGGTTACAAATCTAATCAGGCTACTTCATCGTTAAGCTTAGAGCACAGGTGGAAAATAATGTGTTTGCTTTCATGTCTGTCTGTTAGCAAACTATCTCATGAATCACCAGACAAACAGACCATTTCACAGTTAGAAGTTGTCACAAAGTGGGTCGACCTCACGTTTATCAGGAAAAAGAAGACGTTGCTTCGAAAACGTAATTACACAAATTCAACAGGTATATTTACGCCGTTATACAGACCCGATGCATTTGTGTTAAACTTTCCTKTAGGATTAGATTTTTTCACAAATATCCAAATGTGCTTTTTGAGCTTTTTGAGTTTGCAATAGCGTTTTCACAACCTCAGCTTTTATGCAGTTGACCTGTGACCTGCAAAAGCTAGGCTTTGCTCTACACTGAATCTACAACTGATTAGCTTTTGAAGTCAATCCAATTCAAGATGGTCGCTCCCGTTGACTGACCTTAGAAAACACATAAATGGCTTTACTTCAGTCAGTTTGACAGACACTAAGCTGAAATATGGTAAGGTTTTAGCTAAGAGTCAAYCRCAACACATAATTCGAGTGCTACRTTGCCTGAAATATTTACCCAAAACATTAGCATTAAGAGTTGGAGTCATTCTCAGCTGACATGGACCCAACAGCTAATCAAACTAATACAGAAATGGTTCTAAACCGGTTGTTTTTAC